TGAGGTTTGTGAAAATATATGTAATCCGACATTTTGTGACGGCATCCATACTGGATTTATATTGATACTGAAATTAAATAATTATATTGTGATTAGAAGTAAAGGTCAACAGGTTAACATGCGGTGGGAGAATTTTCAATTAGTATTAGATTTGACCCAAAACAAGGGTCAAAACGACCCACACGGGTGAGAATTAGTGCATTAAAACGTTCCGCAAAAATATGCGCAATAAAATTTTGCTATAGATCTTTAAAGTGAAGATTAATGGGAAATGTAGTCTTATACGAGATATTTGAAATAACTCAGATCAACTTGGGATCAAATTAGGAAAACTTCAATACACTGTAAAAAAAATTGTGATTTTTTGAATTTTTAGGGACAAAACGGCAGGTGGTGCAATATTCTAGAGCCATTCCTCTTTACTCATTGCCATACTGAATTTGTGACTGTTTTTTTTTCTATTGTCGTGCAGTATAATTATCTTCTAGATCTATTTCGTTAGCCAAAATGTGCGCTAAAAGAAATGCATTCCTATATTTTGTAAAAAAAAAACTAATTTATGTAGTTTCCTCTGTTAAACCAATTTTAGGTAGTAACTATGCCAAAAGCTTTTGTCACTGCCCTCCATAGAAAATCACTAACTTGTGAGCGGAAGCGAATTAATTTCTGTTACGAAACAACTTTTCCAGACGTGCATACATATCTACTTATTTCCATATATATACATATATTTATATAAACATTTGGGCAGTACCTTCGTGTGTCTGGGTTTTCACAAATCTTTTTTTTTTTTTGTTTTACGCCAATAATCTTGCGGTTTAATCTTTTAATTTCACTTTCTTCTTCACTTCGACTTTGCCATTTCCGGTTAATGAATGCACGATTGTGCTGGTGTGTGTGAGTGAACTTTGGAGTTTTCTGGGAATTTTCGCTATTTTTTATGACTTTTGTTGAATACATATGTACGTACATATATGCTTGACGAAATAAAGTTCGAGAAGATGAAAAAGTGAAAAGCAAGAGACAAACTAAAATGCATTGAAGGTGAAGCGCCCCGGTGAAGTTTCACAGAGACCTTAATGAAATTGTCTGCGGCACTGAAGTGTGAACTTATTTATGGCTGTAACTGTGACTATGCAAAGAAAAGAATTACCAAATTTAAATAAATAAAACAACGCTACCATCAACATGAATTTAGACTATAAAACAGGCATATCGCGAATGTTAAACACAACAAAAATTACAAAGAAAAAAATTATTGCGGAAACATCTATAAAACAAATAAAGTATGCTGCTAAGTATTTGGCTTAACATTTCGCATTTATTTAAGTCTAAAGTGAAACTTGGTAGCGCTTTCCATGTTTTCGCTTCAATTTTTCGGATATTTTTAGAATGAAATACTTTCTAGAATATTTGTTTGCAGAGTATCGTCCTGATTTTCACCATTTCTTTAGAATTGCTTATAGCTTAAAATGAGTCCAAAACGAAGCTTCTGGGATACCTACAAGCAAAGTCTTGGTTGTGGTTTAGATGTGTACGAAGAATTTCATTTTTTTTTTTGTCTTTTCCTGTCGTACGCCAATCAAGATGGCAACATTTTTTTAAGCGTTCATCCATAAATTAAAACACGAAATTCCCAGCCTGCACTTGCATACATACATACTTATACAAGCAAATTTATTATGACACAACAATTTGACCATCTCTGCAATTAACCTGACAGTTTCGTAACCTCTGTGACAATTTTCGGCTTTCCTTAGTTTGCGGTGGAATATTATTTTTTTATTTTTATTTTTTACATAAACACGCTAATTTAAAAACACAATTGTGGAAGTAAGGAAAAGTTTATACTCACCAAAAAAGACTCCAATTATTTGTTTTTCTCCTTTCTAGTTTTTTTTTTTATTATTTAACACATTATTTAATGTTCCTCGCATTTGCGTAAGGCCCGCCCATTTGAATGACCGAAAGTGCAAGTTACGTTGACATCTATTTAATTTAATGTGTCCGGATATGAATTTGTGGTTGAGTGCACATTAAAGAAATGTCTACGGCAAATTCGTCACAGGCACTAATCGTAAGACCTTTGTAACCTACAAACCAAATGAACGGTAATGTAGGTATACATAATTCATGCAGGGCTGTAAGCTGTCAAAGATAGTCATGTTTTTATTGCTTAATTACTATCAAAGCGGATAAATTTCTATTTATGTAAATACAAGCGTTGAAAAAGGTAAGACTGTTCAGTGCCAAGTCCTTTTCTGCCGGTATTTCAGCAAAAAGCTTATCTATATTTCTGATGCTATTGGGGTGTTCGTGCAAAATTTAGAGGTACAATACTTGTTTACTCTAACAAAATAACAGGAAGTAGCGTTCACGCGAAATACTTCGACGATATAATCTATCTCGGAATAAAGAAATTAACCATTATGCCAATCATCTAATTCGGATGTATGGTGAGCGTATCCAAATTTACTTGATTGCTTATATCCTTAATATATACTCTAAGTTTTTTTTCTACAGTACCCTTGCATATTTACGTCTACTTTTAAGCCGCAACACTATCATCTTTTACACAATTTTTTATTCTCGATCTTAAGCGTTTCTGCATGCATTCACTACTTGGGGATGTTTTTTTGTTGTTGTTTTTTGTTTAAAATAAGGCATACCTTAGACTTATTGGTACATGCGCAAGCCAAAAATATTCTACAAAGCTATGTAAAGTAAATATCGCTAGAAATTGTAACTAAAGTTTATGTCTTAGATTAAACTAAATACCTTTTTTGAGCATTGCAATTTCTGGCAGCCCAAAAAGTTCAATTTGTTTCAAATGTTTCAATTGTTCAAATGTTTTTAATTTACATAAAATCGCGCTTTCTTGTTTTTCATCAAATGATATTATGTAAGCATTAAATAGCAAAAACTCATGTCATGTCCCTTATTATATTTTTGCCAGCTTAGATATTCTCTATCATCTACCAGTTCACCTCGAGATCTGCATTTAAAAAAGAAACTCGTAAAAATTTTCTCGTGCCTTTGCAGTACTACGCTCTGAGACACTCTTCAATTGTATTTTAATGGTAGACATTATGAAGTATTAAAAGTCAAATGCCCTCTCAATTTAAACCATAGAATCCACAAAACCAAAGCTCACTTCTGAGACATTCTAAACTTTGAAAGAGCCTATGTGCGAACAAATTTAAATCAATTTTTAAATAAATTTGAATCAATTTTGGCGATTTTTTGTTTATTTAATGTTTATTTTTTTTCAAAAAGGTCTAGCTCATTATATAACAAATACCATATAAATTCACATTTCATTTGTGCAAAAATTATAAAAAATCTGCAAAATATCAGTTAAATTTTCAAGTTTTTATTCCGATAATTTAGAATTTTTTTTTTGAGTATACAGTTTAATAGCCCATTAAATTCCAGGATAATAATGTGCAAGTTTTAAACAGCAAAAGAATCGCGTTGATTTTTAATAATTTTTTTTCTGACTGCATGACGCATTTTTCTCCATACAAAAAAAAACATATCGAGCCCTAGCCGCCATAATAACGTAAGTGCCACTTTTTTCAAAATTTTCTTTTTAATGCAGAAATACATTTAGATGCCCTAGGAATATTTCTGCATCGAAAATAAAATTTTCAGAAAAATGTCGCTTACGTTATTTTGGCGGTTAGGGCTCTGTATTTAATGTGTAATGGGCTATTAAACTGCATACTCGAAAAAATTCTAAAAAATTTGAGTAAACTGTTAAAAATTTAACTGAAACGCTGCAGATTTTTTATAATTTTTGCATAAAGTTTAAAATGTGCGTATATTGTAAATTCAGTAGAATTACTTAGGAATTTTGAAGCGAGGATTTAGGAGAGGGAGAGCCTTTGAATTATCAGTTTCGCTTCTCAAATTTTCTGAAAAAAAGGGTAAAACTATTAAAAAGCAAATCTGCACTCAGTGAAAGATCGAACCCCCGCTTTCACCATGTCCATATTCGCAAACGGCGCCCTAGATCATGCAGAGAATTATTTCTCAAAACTACTTCAAATTCTTCTTCTACTCTTCGATGCCATATATAAATTGTGACTTTTGTTTGCCGACGGAAAAGCTCTGTTCTCCAATTTCCTACTGAACGCAAAGCAGCACCTATTGGCAAGTGTCACTCTACGCTGAAACTCCTAGCTGGCATCACGGGCGATGCTAATGTTAGAACCTATGTTGTTAGACAAAGTTCGGTGAATGATTTCCATTTGCAGCCCTGTAGGAACCAACTTCAGTCTTGAAATCCTTCAATTTCATACACAATTTTCATTGCCAAAGAGATCGACTTCAACAGTTATTAAGAGGAGTAATATTGTGTCCACAACTATTAAATATGGACGGATTCATCGATAACTAAACAGATATACAAAGTACCCCTGTAAAAAATTGTTCAACTAATCTGTAAAAAAGTATTCGGAGATTAGTTTCAATGGGGTACAGTTCGGCATTACTTACTCACAACTGGTTTTATGCGGTTATTATTATTAGATAAGATGGTCTCAAATCAAACCTTACGGGTATAATTATTGATCAATTAGTTCCTGATTGGTCTCTAATGGCTATAAATTACAAAGTAATGATAAGAACACACTTAATCAAAGGAATGTCACATGCGGAGCTGGTATGCAGAATACGCTTTTCGTTTAGAGAACTTCAGTTCGAATTGCAGCTGGCATTTTATACTTTCCATATATAAAGGGAAACAATGAGTCTCTTCGAATAGTTCATTTATTAGATTGCTTTATTCCGTTTTATTAAAAAGATACAAAAAAATGTATAACATTTTTATGCAATGATGAAGCTTCTGCAAACCAATTGTAGATACTTTGCGCTTGTTATAAATCTACTTATGTATTACAAATAGCGACATACAAACATGCATACAATACATACATATTTATCGCTTAACATATCTATATGTACATAAATGTATAATCACGCTTCGGCCAATCTAGGTGACATCATACACCTGCATGACATTTATCCCGACCTGGCCAGCCATAACAAACACTATCTGCATGGTGGTGGCAGCAGCAGCAGCAGCAGTTCGCCACTCACGCAAGCACACAATCTCCACGGAATACAGAGCAGCAGCAGCGCACACACCACATTGGGCTCCTCACGCCCGCCGCTCCATCACTACCCCACCGTCATCAATAATCATCAGTACCAAGTCACACAGTCGTTGTATGCCACAAAGCGGCCATACAAGCCGCACATCTACCGACCTGGACCGTCAGGTGGTGGCGGTGGCACAGCTGCGGCGTCGAGCAGTTGGGAACATGAATCTAATCAACTCGGCTTGGGCGCCTCGCCATCTGGCATCACCAATCACTTGGACACCTTCTTCGATTTGGAGCGACCGCCCGCGCATTCGGCAGAAAGTGGACCGCATGAATTGCTGCCACATCCACAGCCTTTTGCTGTGGGCAACGTGCTGGACCTGAATGCGGGCGAAGCGGCAGAAGACTACAATAGCGGCGGCGGCGGCGGCGGCGGTGGCGGCCTTTATTCTGATGGAACCACTTATCGACCAGTGCCGGGTACCAAAGCAGTTTTGACGTTTCTACATCTTTCATTATTTTCACTGTTTTGTTTGGACTCTTGCCTTGTTTGAAGGGAATCTATTTATGTATTAAGTTTGATATTTACTTCACTCACTTATAATCTCACTTTAAAGTTTTCACCTTTGTATGTAAATAACTTCAACTCCGCACTTGAATGCTTACGCACTTCGTTACACTTTTGTTTTGATATTTTCTGTATTTCACGGTTTGTGAGCATTGCACTCTCTTTTCTTGGAAAATTTCGTAATAAAATATGTAAATTTTTATGAAATTTTAATAGCGTCACTATTTTTTTTTCTTCTTTTCATTTCAGGCTGTGGCGAGGTGTATGCGCGCTCCAATCGC